AGTGGTACAATGACTGCTTCCCATTTAAAAGTTAATATTCATTCACTCAACAGTTGAGAGCCTACTATGGGTGAGGTTATCAGTTAGGTATGGACCATTGTTTTTACATGTGATAGGAAAAGTGAAAGGACAGTATACTCCATGTCTACATCCCCAATTTTTCTAGATACATTCTGCAGTTTTTCACCTGCCTATCTAGATTGACAACCAAAAGTTCCAAAACAGGTTATATGTAATAAAATGTAAAATTAGCTGGGAAGGAAACAATTTTCAAGCACACTTTGAAAACTAATCTTTGACCATGTTAGTCTGTATATATGTTCTTTAATGCTTATAAAAAGCATAAAAAGCAACTAAAAAGGATAAATAACTATAATGTCAAAATATTAACAATGGTTGTCTCTGGATAGAAAGTTTTAAATGATTCTTTTCTAGCTTATTTTGCATGTTTCTATACTTTATGTAATGTGACATGCAGTCCTTGATAATCAGAGTGAGAAAATATTCTCAAGTTAGAACTGGTATGATACAAACTTGAAGCAGATAAAATGAGACTGATTAAATTAAATGTAGGTAATTACTTAGCCATGAAATTGCCCTGCCCAATTAAATAAGCAGTCATTACTGTAAATGTGTGCTTTGAAGTGGATAGACTCCCGCACAGCTTTTCATGTTTTGGAATAAAAGCACGTATGTATCACAGACATACTGAGTTTTACTATAGTATGGGTACCTGTGCTTACCAAGCTCTTGTTTTCATTTCCATTATTTTTTTAGATAAAAGCAAAGAGAGCTGCTTCTGCCAATCTTTAATGCTTCATGTCTAGAAGTATTTTCCTTTTATGAGAAATATAATGAAGTCGAGATTTCAAATTCCTGGCCCCATTTGACTTTAGTCAAACACGAAGTAATTTTCTATGTCTTTTTCTTCTAATGCCATGGTCCCCAGACTAGACACTGGGGTTGAATCACCGATTGCTGAATTTGCATGTTGGGTTTGTAACTGACTGCTGCTGCTACACCCATTCTCTTCAGCAGAGCTGTGTGCACGTGCAGTGTGTATATTGCATGTGGTGTGTTTGTGCATGTGTGTAGTATGTGTGCCCCGGTCAGGGAAATGCTGCAGGTGACATCCTCCCAACTCTGGGGCTCTGCAATAAGCTTTTCTTCCTCAGCCCTAGAAAGGGAGGCTGTTCCTCCTCACAACCTCTGTCTCTAGCAAGCAGTAACACTTGGCACACAGTGGGCTCTCATCAATGTACTTATTGAACAAAATGGGTAGCTGAAAGAATGAATCTGGAAAACCTTTATAGAACAGAATATAGAATACTGTTAATTATTTTGGGGTGACACTATATCCTTTTTCTAACTTAGATACCTATCATGTGACCTTCCAGAATAATTTTTCTCCCTAACTTAAGAGAATAAACAACGTGTAGATGTAAAATTTTGACACAGTGAGAAGTCATGCTTCGATGATGACAGCAGGTTTTATAATGAAGTTTCTTCTGTAATCACTTCAACTCTATAGCAGAGTCTATTGACATGTCCTGCTGTGGATGCTTTCAGTAGAGGTATACAATCACTAACCTACCTTCTCATGTTTCTAGTCTTAAATGTTTTATACTTTACTTTAAATGATTATCTTAAGTTGTTATCAGCCTGTCCTAAACAGTATGTAATTACACAGTCCTGTCATCCAATCATATCTAGTTCTTTTCTCATTTAGGGAGAAAAAGGATGAAGATGACAGTTATAGATCTGCTTAACCTTCTGTTTAAAGCAAATCAATTTATTTCACAAAATAATATTTAATATCTTTAAGAACAGATATTAAATCTGTGCTCTGTTATGAACAGATGCTAATCTGTGTTTTTGAAGCTGAATGATTTTTGTGGCTTTTCATCTAGGAGACAAGGCAGTGATAATGAACATCTTCCAGCTGCATACCTTCATGACGTTCAATAGGTTTCTTTGGATTAAAAAATGAAACTATTTTCAGGTGTTGAGGAAGAGGAAAGTAACACTGACATGTATACTTTTATGCCACCAGATTTGAATTTGAGTTGTGCACTACATTTCCAGTTTTAAAAAACAGCAAAATTAACAATGGAGTCCAGTCTTGCCAGAGCTTAATTTACTCATCAACAGGACCTAAAGGTGACTTGTAACTTGCAATTAGTTGAAATAAAAGTAACCAAAAACCTGAACAGAGACTGGATGCCAAACATAATAGCATCCTCACACAGAATCTTCATGAAGGCTTTGTGCACTTTTAGTCATATTAATGTGACTTATTAGTGTAACACTCTGAATGATGTCTGAAACTAAATGTATTAATGTTTGTCACAAGTATATACATAATCAAAAAAAATGTTTTTACCTACCAATCACTACCACTCATTGACAAATGGTCTCTTATAGTTAGCAAAATAAAATGCATGTCTATCAGGTAAAAAATCACTAAGCCATTCTAAGGAGATTTCAGGTAATTTCCTTCAAACTAAAAACATCTATTAAAATATATGGTCAAGAGCCATTATTACAGAATTTTTAAATGCTTACAAAACCCCTAGCTATAAAGTACAAAGACAGCCATTCTCCTGAGTTAGGTTGATTAATACCCATTTTCTGTTAAAACTACTTTAATCAAGTAAAAATCAGGCAAAAAAAAAAGAGGAAGGGAAGACTACCCAATTCTTTCTGGTGTTTTATGTTATCCTAATGAATTATGACAAGCCTTTTCTAATCCAAGGATTTATACATTGAACAACTATTCCCTGTTTATATTCTTCCCGAAAATTGGACACTCCCTGCAGGAGGTAAGTAAACCTTTAGGGGACTTCAATGTTTTTGCCATTGTAGATTCACTTTGAAATTGGGTAACTTTTTGTAGGGTTATCCATACCCTTCAATTAAACTTCGCAAACCTTTGCTTTTTACCCTTCTATTCTCTTTGTCATACACACACACACATAGTGTGAGCACACATGCACACACGTGCAGGGCCTGGCCCCACAGTCTCCCCATATACCACATAGACTGTCCCCTCTGCACGCTCTCCCTCCAGACTGTTCTCCTGGCACAGGGTGCAGCTGGGTCTGCGTAATCCCTGATCCCAAGGAGTTCAGGCCAACTCAGATTTGAATTTGGATATTTGGTGCTATACCCAGACCTCACTAGGACAGACTTAGGCTCTTGTTACCTGCCAACTATTAAAATCCCAGCTGGTACTAGTGGGGAAGAAAGTATAATTACAACACCCGCCCCCCCCCCCTTCTCAGAGGAGGGAGAAAAATCTCAGTATGAATTAGGTCAGGTTGCATCTCTAAGGATCACTTTTATAGTCCAAATGTCAATGGTTTTATGTAAAAATTTCTATTTTGCCAAATTTCAAGTAATTTTTCATTTTAAACTCATTTGACCATACTATCTTTTTTCTTCACAGATATTACAACAGATTTTTTTAAAGGAAACAATTTTCTCTGTTTCATCTCTCTCACCCTCTTTTTTCTGGTGTGTGCGGCAGCTGCTGTTTGATCTGTTCATTGGCTCTGATCTGTTTCATGTTTCAGCCAAAGATTAAAACTACTCTGTAATTCTAAGCAGATGGGCCTAGAAGTGCAACCCTATAATTATACCTTCTTTCTTTGGCCCTCGAATTGCAAGCCTTCCATCCTGACTTTTAAAGTCTGGGATCACTAGAGTTCAGAATACACCTTGGCAATCAGGTAGGTCTGGCCCAGCCCAACATGTATACAAGGCCTGTGGAGCTGTGCTGCCCAAGCCGCTGCCCAAAGCAGGCCTACAAAAAAACAAACAAAACACTACAAAACAAAACCCCAGCAGTGTACAAGTTAACCTGCAGGTCTTGCAGGTTAACTTTCCTAGATCTTCTGCAGGGGTGGAGGGCACAGCTTGATCTTCACTGCTATTTACAATGCATTCCGAAGCCCTGTCCAGCTGCAGGTCCTTCTCAGAAATTTGGAGTGTTCTGAGGGTACCGATCTGATCTGTGAAGGTTTGGGGTGGGGGTGACAGGTCGAGGAACTACAGCCAAGCTCCTAGTGAAAACCTTCTGCTCAAAAGTCAGGTGTCCACCATTAAGGAAAGTTCGCTCAGAACATCGGAATCAGCACCATGCCTTCTGCCACTGCCCCTGCATCTGATGATCAACACCAATCTACCACAAAATCTGCCCTGGCGACTCCCTAGCAATTGTCTTATTTTTTCTCGATGCAATTCCTGGAACTCTTAAAGTGCTGATGTCTCTGGTTAAGAGTTTACTAGAGCTCCTGAGAAAATGTGGCACATGAAGCGGAGACAAAATGATCAAGCAACAGCCTGAGGGATATAAGGCGTCAAGTTCTGCAGAATTTAAGAGACTGGTATTAATTATCACACCTGGGCTATTAGAAGTCCCCTACTCCTTGAAACTGCATCCAGTCTACTTGAGAGAAAACCCCATCACCACCCTTTCAAAAAACACTAGTTCTAGAAAGGGCACACAGAAACACCCGTGAGCTATTTTTCCGCTTAAATAATCATAGTTTCTTTTTACGGTCCCATAAAGGCTTGGACCACATCAGGAGCCCCTCCTGCACTCTGACATTTGGGAAACAGGATCGCAAAGCCTGCGATTTCATGACAGTCTACAGTCTGAAAACCCAACAGTGGATAAAAGTTTTCCCAAGGACTTGAGGCAGTCCATTCAGGAGATCAAAGTTGTGTGTGAGATGTTTTCACCCTTCCAGAAAGAAAACTCCAGCCGCGAAAGGGCTCTGGGCGCTGCCTGGGGAGAGGAGCTCAGAGCCTTGGAAACGCCGAGTCGCTCTTCCAGGGGTGAGCAGGAAGAAGCGGAGACTCTGCTTGGCTGGCGCGGGGACAGGAGCTGCCGCGAAGACGACTGGTTCCGCGGGGAAGTTTCTGCCGCTCTCCGGGATCCGACCCACCGGCGCCGGCCAGCGGCCAGTCACCACCCCCCATTCCGAGGAACTCACCGTGAAGCAGCAGGGCCGGGAACAGGTACGTGAGCAGGAGGCGGCACAGACAGGACATCTCTAGTCCTCCTCCGGGACCTCCCGAGTGCCCCGAACCACTCGAGCCGCTAGCCGTCCGGGGCCCCTGCTCCCGGGAACCGCCGCGGCGCTGCTTGCACGCTGCCCTCGGGTCCCCAGCCTGGGACGACTCGACGAGGCGGCGGCGCCGCGAGAGACCAGAGCTTCGGCACCGGGACGCGGGGGCGGGTCCGCTCCTCGGCTCCAGCTCGCTTGAGGCCAGGCCAGGCCCTCGATCATTCGGCTGCCGAATGGGGCCCCATACCCGGGGGGGCGCGGCGCTGGGGCTGCGGGGCACGCGCTCCCTCGGTGCTGGCGGGCCCCGTGCTCCCGGCCAGAACCTCTCAGAGCTCCGGGTCTCTCCGTGCCCTTCCTCCCCTGGTCCCGTGCTGGCCGCTGAAGCAACGTGCGCCACTCAGAGCTGCTGTGGTCGCCACCGCCGGCGCAGCTGCAGCGTCTCTTCATATTTCCCTAACGCCGCCGGCGCGGCGGCGGGGCCGCAGGGTGGAGGAGGGGCCGGGGGCGGGGTCCGGGAGGCGAGGCCGCGCCACCGCCCCCAGAGCCGCCGCGGGGCTCCGAGCGCGGAGACTTGAAAGAGCGCGTGGGACACAGCTTCTCTCCTCCCGCCCTGCTCTCCAAACTCCCCCTCTCCCCGCCTCCCCCTCTCTCTTCTTCCCCTCTCCCCTCCTCTCTTGCCTCTTCTCCTCTGAACCCCCGCACCCGGCCTACCACTTCCCTCCACCTCCTTTCCTTGATTCTCCTCATTCCCAGCCCCCTCTTCCCGAAAGTGCCTCTTTTCTCCAGTCCACCCGCTCTGCGCAACCCCTTTTCTTCGCCAACTGCCCACTGCGTGGGAGCTTCCTTCTGCGAAGGGCTAGTAGACCTTAGCACAGCCAGCAAGGAAAGAAAACGTGCCGTTAACCTCCCTGCCTCCACTCCGGGAAGCTGGGGACACTTCCGTTGACCAGTGGATGCCCCACTTGTGAAAGGTGTTCCGAAAGGATGGGCGGGGTGGTGGGCGCTGCGAGGCTAGGGGTCTCAGGTGGGGTCTGAAAAAGGTGGCTTACAAAAGGATTGGTGCGTATGTGTGTGTGCCTGTGTGTAACAGAAGGGAAGGGAAGAAGGGAAGGGAAGGGAAGGGAAGGGAAGGAGAGAAGAGTTGTGGAAAATTGCTCAAGGTGGAGATGCTGCAGTGCCTAGCTCCCTCAGTAATGCAGTACTTGTTTTAACTGAAAATCCGCATCACAAGTTAGGTGGATCCGCATCACTAGTCTCCCTGGTGAGCATGGGAGCCCTGTCACAGGTCCCAACCTGTGAAGGGAATTGTGTAGGCAGCAGGAGAGCCCTTTCTTCTCCCCTCCCCACCCCTTCCAGGAGGCAAGGGACTTGTTGAAACAAGGGAGAAATCTCAGAGAAAAACACCCTGTCAGTCCTCAAGAAAGTGCACCTAGGTCCCTTCTGTGAGTCGTCCTCTCTTCCAGGCCAAGTCGTGATTTTTTCTGTACATCCTGTGGGCCTGGGAGTGGTGGTATGTTCAATTTTGCATTGGCTTTTAAGACCCAAAGACAGAAACAACTTCCACTCTCTAAGTTTCCCAGGGCGCTGGAACAAGCTGCTCTTGGTAAATGGTGGCTCCCCTTCTGGCATGAAGTGCCCTGGACTCTGATTTATTTGTAGTCGCTCCTCTGCAAAGGTCCTCCAGCCATTCTGTAACCCCCAGGAGGAGGTTTATTCAGTCTCTTAGGCTAAATGTCACCTGTCCTCACCCTAGGCTAAGGAGCAGTCATGGGACCAGATGGAATCAAGAGAACACTTTTTTAATGTTTCTTTTTTTTTACTTTTTTTTATTGTTCAAGTACAGTTGTCTCCATTGTCCCCTCACACTGTGCCTCTTCACCCCAACCATCCCCACTTCCCACCCTTCATCCTTTCTTGACTCAAATGTTCTGGCGTTTTTGTAAATAAAATGCTTAAGAAAGAATGCCTGACTTTCCAAGAGAGTGTTCTGCCCCTTTGAACAGTGTAATGATTAAATTCCTTATGCTTTATACTTTTGAAACTATTGGACCTTAGCATTGGTGTGAAACTTAGTAAAATCGTTGAGAATACATTTGAGAGTTTCCACTTTTTTTTTTTTTTGGCTGAGAAAGCCATGGATCTTTTGATGTGATGGAGCTGATACTGTTTGATGTGCTTTAATTTTTACCACCATCATTATCTTCTTTCCATCTTTAGTATGAAGGAACATAACTCACACTACCTGCCTAGCTCACAAGGATGTTGTAAGGATTAAAGTGGCAGTGGTTGCAAATCTTGAAGATGAAAGACTCCCTGCCTATGTGAAAAAAAGGAAGATTGTCATAATAAGGCTGTGAGCATTATTTTGAGCTGGGCTTGCTCTGCAAGCATCTCTGTGAGTCAGCTTCATTTCTTACCACTTCATTGTCCTTCTCGCTTGCCTCCGTTACTGGGTTTGGGTAGCAGATGATGACTTGTGGGTTTGAATATTGCCTGAGTCAATCCATTTAAAGTAGGAACCTGATTTCCTCACAGATACTGGGCAGTTGACGATGATATAAACAGCACATTTGGTGGTGTAAGCAGAACTTTAGTCTTGTCACCAAGCATATGTCTAGGCAGTGTCTAGCTTTTATAGGCCTTTTAGTCATTTGATGCCTTTTAGTCTATCAGAGAATATTTGAAAGAAGCAAACAACATAAGAGCATATTAGGGATGGTGTGTTTGTGTATAAGCAACTGGGCTGATAGTAATTGAAAAATGTTAAGGTCATTTATCACATGTTAGCAGAACAATTAGATAATACAATTATTTAAATAATTATTTGATTCTGTTACTTAAAAAAAAAGAAGAGAACCAGCAGTAATTTGTCTCATTTTGACAATTAAGTCGATTCAATTTTTGTTTTTTCAACTGGTTTCAGTGGTGTGGTATAAACATAGCCAGGATGATGTCACCAGTTTGAAATTTGTTTTGCCAGTTTGTTTTCCACATGTAGTGTCACAGATTCAAGTTCTCAACCTTCAACATAACATCTTGCCAGAGTTGTTCCTCCCAGATATGCCTTCATCGATGTTTGCCCATCTACAAGGTGCAGACCATAACTTTAGGGTTCACTTTCTGCATTACTTTTCACTTTCGCTGTTAGTGTACTCACTTCTGGAGAATAATGGGAAAAATACAGTATGCATTTGTCTTAGAGTGCTTATATGTGGATACATGCTTACAGTATTAGAATTGGGAGGAAGGCATTTCCAGGAAGGTGGTTATGAGCTCTAACTCCGATTCTGGCCACCTGGAACCCACACCAAGAATTTCCCCAGACTATGTGTAAGGACCAAGCCTTGAGCAGGAGTTTATTTAGCCAGGCCCCGGTTATAGCAGAAGAGTCCCTGGCCAGGGTGGCTGGACAAACTTTCCTTAGAAGCATCAATAAGTTTGTTATAATATTCAGGGCTACTTACAAACAACTTCTGTTACATTGATGGGGAAGAAGAAACTCAAAGGGGTTGAGTTCTCAGCCACACAGCGCACTTGGAACTCCCGTGACTGTTCAGTCACCAGCTCACAAGGCTTCTCATGTGTTTACCAAATGGTCTTTTCCCATGAGCACTGCTGATCATAACCAAGAGTCTCTATACTTGGCTCAGTCTTTGACTCAGAACCAGCTCTTTGCTTTTCCAAAGGCATTCCAAATCATAAGCAAATTTTCTGGAATATCTGCACTGGGCATAATGCTTGAGTGATGACCTTGGCTTGACTTCCTTAGGAGGCTGTCTTAATTTTTTGTGAACACAGAGTAGTAGAGAGCTCAAATGCATTGTTACCCTGGGAGGTGCAAGGACCAATGTCCTTTAAAACCTGTGCTACAATTTGGTTTCCTAATGCAGTCCCTGTGAAAATTAATCTAAAGGTGTGCTATTATGCAAATCATTTGAAATTTCAGAGAGTCCAGGTTTTTCATCATTTGAAGAAATGATAGTTTTAAGGAGGGTCAGAGGAATCAAACCATTAATTTCAAATCATGCTCAATTATATGTATGGTTGAAAGCATTTTACTACCTCTGCATTCTCAGAGGTTGGGAAATGTCACCAGGACAAATATGTAGACTTTTTTTAAAGTTGCTGTATGGCAGTGCCAAGCCTGAGACCTGGGGTAATTTCTCTGGACTGTAAACATCTGGAGGATAGGAACAGTGCTTTGTCCTCTCTGTGCTCCTTTCAGTACCACTTTCAAAACACAGAAAGTACCTAAGCCAGTATTTGCAGGATTTTTCCCACAATAGGATTTACTTTAATAAATGGTAAAGATTTTAAACTGAAAAAAATTTATAGCACTTCCTCAGAGCCAGAGCTAATAAAATTATCCTGAGGGGTCCTTAGGAAAGGGCATACTTCTGAGTTATATTCTTTCAAAATGTTAATTAGAACAAACTCTTTTTTGAAAATAAAATGTAGTTTAGATGTATCTTTGAGTGACATTGTCTTCTGAACTTATAAAATTAAAGATAATATTGCACTTTATATTCATGACAATTTACATTTGTTAGTTCAACCCATCCATCCATCCTGTATTTACTGACTATCATACATATATGTGAAACCATCCAAAAATAAGGATATATATATATATGAGAGTGATTTAGATTAACCATCTATTCACAGCCTGTCACAAGTTTGTGTAGGGAGCTGATGAGAAGACTGAGGACCTTTACCACCAGAGGAAAGTATTTAAAGGCAGGAGGCAATAAATGACCTCAGTAACATTTTTGTCTATTTTTTTCATGTAACTTTCATGATATTCTTTCCTGGACAGGTGGGAACCATATCTGAGTCTCCATCAACCTGGCTCACACTATTTGCCCCACCCTGGTGATTCCCTGAGACTTTACAATGTCCAACTTGTAGACCTATCCAACCTGTTTCTAGTGGCATTTCTATACAACTGGCCTCTCTTCTTCATGCTTCATACTTGCTTCTGAAAATCTCTCAAACGAGCAGCATCTGCCTCAGCATACCCCCTACCTCTTGGTAAATGGCCCAGCAACAGCGGT